TTAATGAATGAAAGGGTTATTTATTTAGCAATTTCCCTGAGGTCCTTTACCGAAGGGATCAATAAAGTTTTATTCTAATTCTAATTTTATTCTATTTATGGATATAAGCTGCCTAGATACCTGACTAATAAATAAATGTACAGTCGTCCTCAGATGTGTTCATAGCCTCCCATTAAAGAAGGAAAAAAACAGCTGAAACTAAAATAAGCTGAAATTGACAAAAGTAATAACAAATAAAACTATAATTAAAATCATGACGTTGCTTTTGAATTGTGGTTTAACAGATTTTTTTTTTTTTTTTTTTTTAAAGTATGATGGGACCTGTAAACTGATATTTAGTTGAACAACCCTTTGAGCCAATCAGATGTTTCCTGTAACTCTCAGTCAGACTTGTGCACCTGTTGACAGGTATTCTGGATCACTGCTCATCAGCAAAGTGCTCTCATTTGTCCGGAACAGTTTTTTTTTGTTTGTTTGTTTTTTTTAAATTATTCTTTTCAACAACAGTTCAAAAACAACATCTAGTTTCACTAAATTGTAATTTAGCAAATTTTTATTTATTATTACTTGTTTCAGTTTCTAGTTATTTGAGTGACTTTTGTGAATTTTGCCTTTTCTTTAATGGGAGGGGATGAATACATCTGAGGACGACTGTATACTAACAGTGGAATGATGCCACACCGAAAAATATCAGGAAAGATCATGTGATCATAGATGACAGAACACGGAGCGTAAAACTTGTCAGGCTGTTAGATTTAAAAATAAAAAATAAAAAAAGTACATAGCATGTCTTTGAAACCTGCTGGTGGGTTTTGGGGTTCAGAGAGTTGACCGCAAGGTTTTGCATTATCACTTTACAGCATCACTTTGTTGTGCGACACTATTATTAACTCACAAAAGAGCTGTTTGTAAGTCTGTGGACCAAAGTGAGCTTTGTTTTCATCCCTGTTACTGAAGCCACAAAGAAAAGTTGTGGCAGAACTCTGTGATAGTTGATCGTTGAACAAACCAAGTTTATGTTCTGTAGTTCAGTGAGAACGTTTTGTATGAATCTGTAAAACCCTTCATCAGATACAGACTAATGTGCAATAATGAGAAAACTATACTGTTGTGTAGTTTTGTTGTGAGTTGTTTGCTGTGTGTGACTGCAGTGAGCTGATGAGATGTGTGTGTTGATAGTGGAGCAGATGGTAGAAATGGGAAGGAGCATCCTGGAGAAGAACAAAGTCCTCGATGACGTCAGGTAAATAAACAAATTCCGTGAGACTGATTCTGATTCTATAATTACGACCACAGTACTACGATGTTCTGTTGGGCCTTTATTGCTTTTTTTTTTTGCTTTAATGGTTCTTTTGCAAACTTCAGTTCATTCATTGTCAGTTTCTCATAGTTTGTGAACTATTTTAATGACAACAAATAAAAAGTTTTCAAACCCACGTTGGATTTGTGTAGGATGGGATTCCACCTGCCTCCGTTCACATCTGTTCCTCACCTCCACCTCCACGTTCTGGCTCCGGCCAGCAAGATGGTGTCGAAGTCTCAGCTTCGCTACGGACCTCAGTCTCACTGGTTCATCACGGTGAGTCAAGGCTCAGCTGTGCCAATGAAATCATTTTAGACTTTTCAAAGGGGTAAGCCATGATTTTTTAAAGACCCCATCCAATGAAAATCAAGTTGTTTACCTTACAATTGTGTCCATATTGTGTTGCATCTCAGTTGTTTTAACACAGGACGGGTTTATTTTATTGGAAAAACTTTTAAATATGGAATTTTGAGATACAGACGGGAATTTTTAGGGGTTTGTTCGATGACCTGAGAGGAACTTCATTATTTCATTTAAATTTATTGTTCATTTAAAAACATGTCAAGCAATTCATAAAAACATGTTGCAATTATAAAAAGCTTAAATGTTTGATGTTGGCTTAAAATTGTGAATTTTGTGAATTTTATGTTGAATAGCTGCATTAGTTTCCATCCATTAAGGTCAGCACTTTAATTTAAAACTACTTCTTTTAAAAAATTTAAGACGTGCAGCCACAGAAGCTTATGTTGTGATCCACCTGAAAATTTTTATTTTTTTTAAAATAAATGTTATATAGAAATGCACGTATACGTGTAAATGTTGCCTTATTTTAATTTACAAAAAATATGTAAGTTTTTTAGATCATTATTACTCTAAACTCTTTTTTTGTTGCTTTTATGTTATCAGATTACTGCAGCCATCAGATCATTTTGAACTTTGTTTATTGTGTGTTTTGTCTCTTTTTATTTTTTTTGTCTTCTGTTTGTTGTTCCCTGACAACCAGATAGTTCCTGACACTGGATTATTCACAATATTGTCATTCATCTATCATGAGCATGCTATCAGTATTTCATTGTTTAAAATATTACAGTAATCATTGTACCATCTAAGTTCCTGGTTTTGCTCTATTGCAGGTGGACAAAGCCCTTTCTCAGCTCAAGACTCGCGGGAAGGTCAAATGAACTCTGAACTTGTTGTCATTCCACCTCAGCTCTCCACCTGATCCCACATGTTGGCGTTAATAATGTATGTTCAACTTGCTGATTCCGTCGTGGAGAAAAGTAGAAGCAGGCGCGGGGTGGAAACTATATGCTGAACCTTTTTAAGAAGTGTACATAATGTATTTTTAACATACATTTTTTAGGGGGAAAGAAAGTCGTACTTTTGTCTAAAAACCTCACAGAAGAACATTTTGTTTCTGTGTTCAGTTGTTTGTGTGTAAGTGGGTCAATCAAAAGACCTGCGTATGCCTTTATTATCTATTTGTTACTACTTGTCTGGTGCATTAGGATGCAGTATTTATTTTAATATTAATATTGTTAGAATTCTGAGAAGCTGTAAATAACGGGGTTATCATTGAGAAAGTCTTAAGTCACTTGACTCTGTCTCCCAGTGTGTGGACCCCTGTGTGCATCTTTGTTCCTCTGCCGAAAAACAGAAGACGAAAAGATGTAAGGTCATCTTTAATTATTTACTTTCATTACTGATTAGGATTCCATTAGTGTTTTCGACACCATTATTTTGGCAGCATGAGGGGTTTGTTGGCAGGTTTCTGTTCCTGAAGTTTGGCCAAATCTGATCAGCTCAGTTGTTGGCATATTTTTTTCCCCATTAATCCACATTAGAGAGATAGTTCACCTTAATTATTATGATTCTTTTTATTGCATAAACTGATTAGTGGCATTAAAAAGTATCTTTGATTTTAACAGCACACTCAGGAGTTTAAGGTGATGCCATATCTACAGCCATTTATATGATTTATTCTGTGTTTGTGTTCTAAAAACTTCCCTTTCTAACTATTTTTGGCCCATAATGTTTTGAACCGCAAAAAGGCTCACAGCACCTCTGTAGCTGCAGTATATATATAACCTCAGGGACTCGCTAGCTGTGGACTTTCGTTACTTTTTGTCATACTTAATACCTGAGAGTGCTTGTATTGATGAATTTTCTGCTAAATTGTCCAATTTTGGGTGTAAAAACCTTTTAAAACCAAATCCTTAAATAGCTTTCTTGCAAATAGCTTTTAAAATTGACCCAACTAGCAGCAGACAGCATAGCATAGCATAGCATAGCATAGCATAGCATAGCATAGTACAGCATATTATAGCATAGCATAGCATAGTTGAGCATAGCATATCACAGCATAGCATATCATAGCATACCATAGTATAGCGTAGCATAGCATAGCATAGCATAGCATAGTATAGCTGTAACCAAACAATTTTAACTTCTATTGTAAAAGAAAGTTTAGAAATTCTTTAAATCAGGCTCCTTGGTCAAAATAATCAGATTAACGTGTTTTCCTTTGTATCACTCAGATTAATGACATGAATGCAAACTATTCTAATTAAAATTATTTACAATATATTGCAATAGATTGTAATGTTTTCTTGTATGTTTTGTGAAAAGCTGTTATGCTGTTAAAAACTACCATCCATTACCAATGACTGGATGTGGTCACAGTTTCCTGATAACGTCAGTTCTCTCTGAGAGCCACTTGATGTCAGTAGTGTCTTTGCAGCTCTGGCAGGTTTAAGGAGAACCCACAGAAAAGCACCAGAGTCACAGCTTCTAATATTTAAAAATGATAAAGCAGTAAATTTACAAAAAAAAAATTGAGCAAGATGTACTTTGCCAAATTATTTTTCCTTTTATTCTCAAAACCAGTGTGTCACCACAGCGTAATGGAAAGTTTTCTTTCAAGATCTGTTGGCACATGACACAATAAAGTGTCAGTGTGTGGACAACAGAGTCACACATAGATCAGAGTTTTGTTAGTTTCTATACACTCACCAGCCACTTTATTAGGTAAACCTGTGGTCTCTAATGCAATCCAATACTACAGCACTGTCATAAATCCTACTTTTATGAAGTTTCTAAACTCCAATATTTTTGCCCCAATATTGATGCGTGTTAATGAGGTGGGTAAAATATTAGGAACACTTCTGAATGTCAATCATCACCACCCACTGTGTCCTCAGAAATAAACATAAAGCAGAATTATCACCGAGCTGGAAGTGAAAATGTAGAATCTTCATAAATGTAAGTAAAAGTATAATTAATGCAGAGCTGTTGTGTTGGATTGCGTTAGATGTCACCTCAAAAAGCTCATGACCACTGCTTTGTTTTAAGCTTTTTCCTGTTCATTTGGAAACTTTATCCCATTTTATGCCATTTATTTTCTAACAATGTGGATTAAATATTACTTCTTTACTTCTGAGTTTGATCTTTTCATCAGGACAAAGCGACACCCTGTTTGTGCTCGTCAGAATAAGAACTTGTCACGTTGGCATTTCTCATGTTTAACAAGTCGTAACAAAACCAGACGTTCATTCATTCATCCATCAATCTTTTTTCTTCTGCTTGACTGCGAGGTCAGGTCACAGTAGCAGCATGCTAACTAGGACATTCCAGGCATCCCTCTCCCCAGCAACGTTTCCTGCTCCTGCTGAGGGATCCCAGAGCGTTCCCAGACCAAATTAGATATGTAATCTCTGCAGAAAGTTCTGGGTCTGCTCTGGGATCTCCTTCTGGTTGGACGTGCCCAGAAAACCTCTAAGGGAAGGTATCCTGGAAGCATCCTGACACAAAGAAGCAGCAACGAAGCCCTGAGCTACCTCCAGATTTCTTCTCTGTAGGAAACCCATTTTGGCTGCTTGTATCTACAATCTCATTCTTCACTCACAACCCAGAGGAACAAAGACTAACTGAAATAAGAGCTCAGCTTTCCTGTTCAGATCACTGTCCTGACTCGCTTTTTCTTTTCACGCTCCATTTTCCCATCACTCATGAACAAGATCCCAACTTACTCGAACATGGAAGCAATCCACCAGTTTCCTGCAGAGAACCCTGATGTTAGACTTCATCCTGGTCACTTCACTTTCAGCTGCAAACCGCTCCAGTGGTTCTGGAGTTCATGGATTAGTAACGGAACCACGTCATCTGCATAAAACAGAAATATGACTCTGAAGTTCCCAAACTGAAGTTCCCTTCTCACACCACCAAATCAGGAACAGGATCGGAGACATCATCCACCATGTTTGACTGGTACCAAGAACCCAAACACAGCTCCCACTTTGTCCTATAACCAGGCATGTTTTTGTAAACACATTTAACGCTGTTTGGGTTCCTTACATGATGCTAATGGTGACATAAACGTGTGAATTCATGTTGTAGGGTCTCATTTCGTCTGAGGATTGATGGAGGAGGCCGGTTGTGAGATATCTCAGGGTCTTGATAAGGAGGTCAGCCACCATGTCATAGAGGATAACCTCTCATGTCCTCATTAAAGTCTCATTAAAGGCACTTTAATGACCCTTCACAATGCAGAATGTCACATCATGTCGGTGATATAGACGACGTTGTGCCCACTGTGGTGCAGCTACTGACTGCGTTTTACTTCTGAGAATAATTCGTTGACCAAGAACTGAACAGCTCACCGAATAGTTTAGCTGTATTTTGGTCTACTATTGCAAAAACTACTCTTTAACACAAACAGCCAACCTCCAGCCTTCTTTTGTGTTGAGCAGGCCTTTCCTCCTGACTGAGGCTTCTACAGGGGAATGTTTCCTTATTGTCACCGTGAGTGGGTGGTGTTTTAATTCAATGCCGTCTCTATGAAGGCCTCTGTGTCAAACTAGTTTAAATGTGGGTTAAAAAAACAACAACTATTTATTTGACTTGCTTGGTGACTCACCGTCGTTGCTTTCAGACTACAAATGTACTATTTTTTGCATGTATTTGTATTTGGTGGCTCGGTGTGTTGTCCCAGTTGTATGACCCTGAGGTTTTTAAAAAGCAAACACAGTCATGAATAGATGTGATTTCACCTCAAGGTCATACTGGACAGTGAGGAATAAGAGGAAAAGAATGAGGGAAAAGCACTGACATCGCAGCCTTTTGAAAGCTTGGATATTCTGAGCTTCACGTTTACCTCCTCCCTCGTGTTAGTGATTATTGATTGTATGGTTTTGCAGCTGAATCAGGGATGTACATAGTTTCAGGAGGATATAGAGCAGTCATTGTAGGAAATTTTTATCCAGCCACAATTGAAAATGACAATTACGGCACCAATTTTTCGTGTATTTAATATTATGTGTGCTTTTGACAACCAACACTGCCCATAAAATGTTCCATCTAGAATACTTTTATATTTCCACTGTTATGTTTCTCTTGTGAAAAATGCAGGAGACCAAAAAAAAAAAACACAATCTGTTCAAAGCAGGGCTGCAAGGTGGCGCAGTTGGTAGCACTGTTGCCTCGCAGCAAGAAGGTTGCCGGTTCGCGTCTCAGTGGGGGCACCGGAATCTTTCTGCGTGGAGTCTCCGGCTTCCTCCCACAGTCCAGAAACATGTTGAGGTTAATTGGTGATTCTAAATTGTCCGTAGGTGTGAATGTGAGTGTGCTTGGTTGTCTGTCTCTAAGTGTGGCCCTGCGATGGACTGGCGACCTGTCCAGGGTGTCTCCTGCCTTCGCCCTAAGTCGGCTGGGATAGGCTCCAGCCCCCCCGCGACCCTAGTGAGGATTAAGCGGTGTATAGAAAATGGATGGATGGATGTTCAAAGCACTCATGTCATCACGAATTTGCTAAAATGACGAAGAGAGTGTCCGAAGCTATAACATCTGTCATCAGCAGCACATGTCAGAGTCCAGAAGACGTTGTCATGTATCATTCAGAGAAAATAAGAGCGAATGTGTTTCCATCCATTTAGTCTGAACCTACACGACTTGTTGTCATCCTCTGACATGCTAACATCCTAAAACCTCTGTAATCACACTTCTTCTGTATTAACACGTGAGCTGATGGATAGAGTATGATGAAGGTGAGCTCCTACGTGATGCAGGTGAATGTGATTTCTTTAATAGTTATATTCAGGAGCGCGGCTGAAATGATTCTCTCACAGGTTGAAGGAGTTTGGCAATAAATAATACACGTTATTGACATCTCCTTGTATCTCTGCAGGGTTTTTCTGGTTGTGGAGCTTCACAGGTCAGCTGACTCAGGGTGAAGGCAGGTTCACCTGGACAGGTAACCAGTCTATCACAGGGCTACACTTAGAGACAGACAACCAAGCACACTCACATTCACACCTACGGACAATTTACAATCACCAATTAACCTCAACATGTTTCTGGACTGTGGGAGGAAGCCGGAGAACCTGGAGAGAACCCACGCTGCACGGGGAGAACATGGAGACTCCACGCAGAAAGATCCCGGTGCCCCCACTGGGACCCAAACTGGTGACCTTCTCGCTGCGAGGCAACAGTGCTACCAACTGCCCCACCTTGCAGCCCTAAAAGTCTCATCAGCCATGAGCCGGATTTGGACTCACGACCTCGGGACTTATGCTCGATATCAGCAGGGTGCCAGCTCAACCTGGTGAGCTATTGCGGCACCCTGCAATGACACCAGTCTATCTTATATAACAATGACAACAGGAAGTCCAGGGTATCTTTGAACTTCTTTTGCGGGTGTTTGTAGGGTCATGAGTTCTAAATTAGTCAGGCTGATCTCCATAATCAAAAATACTGTAGAGTCTTAGCAGGCATTAGTGTGGAAAAAAGTTGCATTTGTTATAAAATAACTTCACTGACGGCAAATTATGTTCTCTGTTTATAAGTAGATGTTTGTGCGACAACCAACTGATTTTTCTCAACTTGAATGATTGTGAGATAAAAATTAGATTTAAATCTCAGTTGCATTTTCCAGGTTCATTTGGTGGATTTACTTGTACTGCAGCTTCTCTGGAGGTGTTTTTGAGCTGCAGTAGAGCAGTCAGACTGTCGTTAGGATGAGCCCTTAATTACACACAACATTATACAACAGTGTTTTATTTGTGCAGTCACAGAGGCGCTCAAAGAAAAAAAAAACCTGGCTGAAGATTACACACTTGAACCCAATTGTCAGTCCACACATTTTTCCAGACGCTTTACACTGAAATCTATATAATTCGATGATTATTTTGTGTTTATTTCTTAAGTGCAATGCAACTCCAAGGGAAAGTTATCTGTCCGATAACGGATGCAGCGCCTCTCTGCAGCGCATGGGCAAAGTCCGTCACATTTAAACTGGTCGCCACAACAATAAATGCGCCACTGCTCGATGCCTGAGAGTTTAATTGTTCTTCTGTGTGGTGTTGGTGAGGACGGAGCGGAGTTCACAGTCCGCCTGTGGCCGATATGGCCGCCGCTGACGTTAGATTCTTGACATTGCACGTCGCCGTGACTGAGCTGCGGTGAAGCCCCGCCCCTCCCGCCGTCAACAACTGGATTCCAGCTATTTGTATTTTCGTCCACTAGCACCGCTAGCTGCTAACGATGATTCATTGCGTTCGTTAAAAAAATACAAAATAAACACGACTCAGCTAACGTGGACGGACGTTTATTCCTTTTAGTTCGCTTGAGACGCACTCCGTCGATAGCTTTGCGCCGATGTGCGGCCAATGCGAGCTGAAGGAGCGACGAGAGCGGAAAAATCGACTCGCCTACCGTCCTTTAGCCGTCTGTGAAGCCAGCTAACGGCTAACAGCTCGGCGGAGATAGCGCTAGCTGGCTGGCTGGCTGACAGCTGCCTCGGTTCGCTACGTGCCTTCAACAGTAACGTAGCTGAGATTTACTCGCCAAAACGATGACTCGTCTCTGACATTGGTGAGTATAATTATGAGGAATATGTAGCGATAGGAAGCGTGTCAGTTGTTTTGAGTCGCCTCAGCGCTGCTAACAGCGAGCAGCTAACCAGCGGCTTGTTTGTAGCAGCAGCTGCACGGAGCCACGCCTGGGCCATTTAAATTAATGTCTGCGGCTCACAACTTTCGAGGTTATTTTTCCCCCGACAACTAGCTTACAGTGTTCATATTATTTAAAATAATTCTCCTGTTTTGGTCCACAGAGAGGACTGAGGCCCAGTTGGTTGTCACATTGGAGTAATCAGAGCCCATAACTCGTGAAGGTGGGTCTTGGTTGACTCTCCGGTGGTGCCATTGAAGATAGGTGGGCGAGCCGCAAGTCTGCTTGCCGATGCGCGCTGGTTTTGATCTGCAAGAGCTGCCAAAATGATGCCGGTAAGTGCAAAACACCTCCACGATCGTACCATAAAAATGATGCACTCTCCCATTTATGCTTTTGATCAGAATGCCTACACAGACCTGTGTGCAAGGTGGAAATGATCATGTGTGATGCTCTCAGGAATTGTTTTATAGAGAGTAAAAGACAAATGGAGCTTCTAATGTTTGGTATTTGGGTTTTGTTTATTACCATGGGATTTCAGGATGGTGTGATGAAAGAGACCAGGTGTGGATGAAGGACACAGTTTGACTCTGTGAAAGTTCAAATGCACACAAGTTCATGCAGGATCGGTATTCATTTGTTTGCTTTTCCCACTTAGCCAATCTGTGACATCACCTCCCTGGAAAAAAAAAAACTTTATCTACTTACAATCTGTTGTACAGATCAGTATCTGTGATGTCTAAAGACATACCTGCAGGGATTACATTTTCATTGAAGCTAGTTAAAATGACTAAACCATGAAAAGCAGACTGAAATGTACACATGTTTGATATGAATAAATTATGTATTATATATATATCTTGTGCTAAAGACATACAAACCTCAGATAAAGTTCAATCTAGATTTACTAAATTGTCAGAATAGGTCAGGTGAGCTTTTTACCCCCTAGTCTCTCTAATAATAATAGATTTGTGTTGGAAAAATGCTGAAACAAAACAGTTCTTATATTTAACTCAGTAGGTGCAGTGGACACCGTTGCATGTGTAAATCAAGAACAGTTTTCCTTCGGTTGTTTTTCCCCCTGCTGTTATTGTATAAGATACTCTGAATAGAATACCTGAATGGCAGCCCTATTGGAGTGGTGCTTTGTTGCGACCTCTTTTGTTATCTTTAGTGCTGAGACTGCAGCGATGGATTGTGGGAAAAGTGATTAAAATCCCTTTGGCCTTCAGGGAGGGGAACATGAACTTAGATACTGGATACAGTGGGTTCAGTAAGGTGACATGTTAAATGGAGGGTGATTCGCTCTTGGCCTGCTGTCTGCGTTCTAAATGATTGTGTATTGGTTGAAAATACAGCATCCCACTAACACTTTGGACGTTGGTATTAAAATAGCTCCAGAACACAGCCCAGGAGAGGCTTATAAGTTTCCAGGAGCACAAAGTAATAGAGAAGTGACTCCATATTTGCTGCCGTCGACGAGTTCCCAGGATTGACTGCGACCGTAGCCTCGCTGGACAGTTGTGCCCCGTGGCACCGACAGTCTATCAGAGTCAAAGAGCCAGTCGAGCAGAGAGGCAGTGAGGCTCTTGGTTCTCGCGTGACTCCGGCAGCCAATGAGACCTTGGCAGATCTAGGTCTGTGTGGCTGCGTCGACTAATGCTCTGTTGTTAAGGGGAACTTTTGAGCTGAGTAGATTGTCAAGTGGCATTAATCTCACGCAGTGGAACTGGGCAGAGCGTGACTTATAGGAAAAGTAAACATTGCATCTTGTTGTCGCTTTCCCGTTTTTGTGGACGCACTGGTTTAAAATAACATCACAGAGGCCATTACAGTTGCATTGTAAAGCACTTGTCATGAAAAAGTAACGTTTGCCAAGTTAAATAGACATGACGATTGCTGTTCAGCCTTCACCCCAAACTCGGCATGAGCAGATGAAAAGAGTCGGTTATTGATTTATTTAACAACTCCCGCGTGTTTAAGACTGCCAGATCTATCTTTTTATTGGCTGAAAGAGGTATACATTATTAATTAGACTTTATAAATGTCGTCCTCTAATGCACATTAGTCAGCTTTCAATCAAAGGAACGCATCCTTTTTAAACACTGGATTAATCTTGTGGGGATCTAGGACTTTCCCGTTGGTCTTTCTCTCTGTGTGTTTTGTCTTTTCAAGTCAAAAGCAAACACTTTGTCTAATACAATTGTGAAATATCAGCAGTGTTGTAAGTGCTACAAGATTAGTCTGATAGCAGAACCAAAGCTGTTATAACTTTGGTTATTCAGGGTGAAGCATCTTTAATGCATGTATAACTGATAATGGCGTTATTTTTCCCATTCTTGGATGCCATGGTTGGTCACATGTTCCAGTTTATTTCGCATCATTTGTCGCGTCATTATCTCATCTCTCCTCCATATGGTTCAGTGAGATTGCAGCCTGATGGGCAGCGCTTGACATATTTCAGCTGCATAAAATGAGTGGATTGCATCACATTTAAAATTAGTCAAGAATGTCAAAGGCAACCCTGTCATGTAGCCATAAATGGCAGCCTTGGATTTAGATATGGGTCAGATGCATGTTTGAGTCCCACTAGATGATAACACTAATATTGATGTGTGATTTAGATTTTTTTTAACATGGTTTCTCCACACAGTTGGGCTTCTGTTGAGCTCAAAGCTTTCGGTAAACTTGCGTTCCAGTGTCTTAAATCTATGCATTTGAAAAAAAAGTTTTATGAAAAGAATAGTTTTCGGTTCAAGTTTGTGCTTAGGAAGCAATATCCTGCTTCCTTTACGGTCCACGCCTCTTCGGGAGGATGTGAGTGACAGGATTCGTGAGAGGAAACGACTGTTTGACTCTTGGTGCTGGAGATCGGACCCGCCAAGGATCGCTTTCCCACTCAGAAGTTTAACGATCTCCTGATGATGCCCACTGTACCGTTACGCGTCGGGCAAGAGGCACTCTATCTTTTGGGCAACGCAGAGTACAAGCAATGATCCCTTTCTTGACTCTGCATGATAGTGTCCTGACCTGCCTGCCAGTCACAGCTGTGCCCAAACTATTTTCATTAGAAGGGAGTCATTGGCGTTGCAGCCGCTGGCACATCCCAGGGACACTTTTCCAATAGAAGTACTTATCTCGGCACCCTCCTCCACCCATAGCCGCCACCCTGTGACTCTCTCTCTCTCTCTCTCTCTCGCTCTCTCTCTCTCTCTCTCTTCTTTCTCTTGCTGTTTGTTTCGCACTAGTTCTCTCCCCTCCCCTCCCCTCCCTCCCTGAACTGCACATACAGCCAGTGTTTTTTTTTTTTTTTCCTCCCAAGTCTCCTCTGCAGCACTTTCCTAATGCGAGCGCCACTGTCGGGTTTAGAGGTCTGCTCGGGATGGCATAAAAATTGAGTCTCATGCCTGCAAAAGCGGCAGCGCTATGATGAAGAGGTTTGTGACTATAGTGTTGCGCGGCCTCGTTAGCCTCTCCAAGGAAAACCCCATCTGGGCTAAGGAGCATCACCGGCCACCGAAGACCGAGATCAAGAGGAAGCGGAGAGCAGTGAAGAGAACCAGGAGCATGGGCAGACGCAACTTAGTGAGGGCGGTTCGTATTTGTCCAGCTGGATCGCTGGAATTTGTTTTCTAAGTTGTCATTATGTGAATGTACATTTCCGTGATTCGGTGGTTTCTGTGTTTATGCGAAGGCACAGTTGAGCATGCTCTAATGCGGCTTTTTGTGATCAATTTAGATTGAACCCAAATTTGCGCCTCATTGCCTGATTGGTTGATTATGTGTCCTGATTAATTGTCGTGCTCTCGATGTTATTGAGCATGCAGGCCTCTGTTGTCATAAAGAAACTAATTGCTTGATAAGGGTGCAAAATATGTCGAACTGGATCCTATTTTATGTTTGAAATAGTCCCTTTTTTTTCTGTATTTCGATAATTGTAAATCGTAAATGCAAATAGGAACGCACAACCCTTCTCCCAGAATTAACAAAGGCGTCAGTCTTATCTGTATTCAAACTGGTGCTGTTGCTCGCCTCACTGGGGTGTTTTGTGTTTGCTATATTTTATTCCTGAACGGTGTTGTGTCTTATTATGCAGCTCGTAGCGCTCCAATATCCTTTGGGTATTAGCAAAGTAATTACCTATCAGTAAAGACATAACTAGTCTCCAGCCTATTTACAGCGCCTTCTTTCTGTCTTTCCATCTCATTTTCTGTCTTCCGGTGATGTTCTTGCAAATCAGCTCCCAAAAATTGCCCCCATTGCTTGTGTATCTGTACATTAGCTCATATTAAGACCGTAGTGAGACGTGTGCCTGCGCCTCATTTTCTTATCAGTCCCTCAAACAGCGAGAAGTTAGGCTCATAGTCAGCTGAATGAAGCCACAAAGGCTCCCAAGCACAAGTGATCATATTGTTTCGTTTAGGCTGCTGCAGAAAATGTCAATGAATCACACAGTTGCATCATTGAAAAGGATGAGTCACTTTGACTCCAAGAAACTCCCGGAGTAATAATCTATAGGTGACTCAGTAGCTAAGGCTAGATTATTTATGACAATAGCGTGCGCTGACAATAATTGTAGCACTAAAAATGCACCCTGAGGCACTATGTACAATTATGCACTCCACTGCTTTGCATTAAAGTGCCAATGAAATGTTTAGATGTTGTATCTCACACGTTTAATATTTGCTGTTCTGTCAACAAATTGATTTGTCTGCAAAAATGGACGACCTCTTCACTCTGCAGGCTGCGTTTTAATGGTTTGATTTGGGCACTTTTGCAGGTGTTTCTTCTTTTTTTTTTTGTTGTAATTTTTGTTGATTTGTTTTGACATTTTAAGATATAGATTGATGCTGTAAACAGAGCGATACAGCTGTTGGTCTAGAGCAGTAGTTCTCAAACTTTTTGAGCCACGACCCCCAAGATAACATAAGTTTGTGTTCGTGACCCCCAATTCTTATTTTTAATATATCATGAGTAATAACTTTGTTGTTCATGAATTAATGAGTTAAAAATTAATGTGTTAATCCCGCAGATTAATCTCTTTACATTAAGACGTTCATTTTCTTTTGAATGAATTGAATTTATTTCAAACAAATGAAAGGGGAAAAAAATATAAAAACAGAAGAAAATAATTTTAAAACGAGAAAAAAAGGATAATAATATTGCATAATCAAATCATAATATTAACAAGTTCAAAAAAAGGAGTGGGAAGACGTATACACTTTTAATTTTGGCAACCCTGATACACATTTATTTGATAAATGTAAGCTTTTTTTTCCTTTTTTTTTTAAACAATGATCTTGTGACCCCCTGAAATTATCTTGGGACTCCTGTGGGGGTCCTGACCCCCAGTTTGAGAACCATTGGTCTCGAGGAACAAGAGTAGGATAGAAGAGCTTGATGGTGGAAGTAATCTTTCATTCAAGCCTTAGTAACTTGTGTTTTTTTGCATCATATTAAACAGTTTCTCAGCTCCAGCCCTTCCTGTCATGGCATATTTAAGCCACAGCTGCAACAGTTAATTGGATTTTCAATTACTTGTCAACTATGCAGGTAATCAACTATTCTGATGATTTGTTCTTGATTTGAGTAACATTAAAAACTAACACAAAAATTCCCTAAATGTGAATATTTTCTAGTTTCTTTGTTTTTATTGCAGCAGTTTGAATTTCTTTGTGTTGTGAAGAAAACAGGACATTTGAGGATGTCATGTTTGGATTTGGGAATCAACATTTATCTTCATCTTCTGACATTTTATAGACCAATCAGATAATTAATTAATCAACAATGAAATAATAGTTCATTGCAGCCCTAGTTCCAGCAGAGAACCATGTGAGAAACTGCCAAAGTGGAACAGATCTAAAGCGAACTCAAACACAGGGAATCCACATTTCCCTTTCCGCTCCTGTTTACTGACACCTTGGTGAACTCGCATCCAACTTGCACAAAGACCGTAATCTTTTAAAACACAGCAAACATGTTACTTTATTTTCCCTCCAAAACTAGCTGTCACAGACATTTAGGTTCTGTGCTCTTTATTCCGTAAACTTCTCACAGTCCTTCTTTTTTTTTTGTTAAAAGACAGATGAGTGAGGCCTGTCACCTGAAACAGGAAGGCACTCCTCAACCCTCCCAGAGCGCTTTGTGCCACAGGAAACACTGCCTGCCAGAAAAACACATCACGTAGATGTGCCGTAATACTAAATATAGAGAAAGTTTGCTCATTTTCTCTTGTTGTCACCTCCTGCAGACCAAACAACAAGCAAAAAGTAAGGACAGCTCAACACAAAATATATCCTCACATTGGTTGAAATGAATATCTTGCTAAACTGCAGCTTTTTCTTTTGTCAAAGTAAAATAATTCATTGCACCTCTTATCCTGCACGTCAGCTTTATTTGTGAAGACTTTGAATAATCTTGTAGGATCCAGAGAGTCGCTTAGTCAGGAACATGATGTCACGGCGAGAAAAAGGATCGGCCGCGTTTTACAACCTTAATTCAGAGTATTTAACCCAGTGAGTGAGTGAGTGCTTTGCAGTGACCGAATCTTCTTAGATATGATGTATGAGCTGAGACCATCTGGATTGTCTGGGATGTAATTTATTTATTTATAGGCCATCTTCCAGCTTTCCTCCTTTAGGGACAGCGTTGTGTGTGCGCCTTAGTTTTAGATTCAATAAAAACTTATAATGCCGTGAATCCTAAAAAAGAAATAACAATTCGTTTGATTAATTATTTGATAAAAATGTTGATACCGACATCAACGTTTTTCCAGGTGTCTGAAGGTGTCACAATACTGGGAGAAATGTAGACTGCACATGCTATAGATATTTTCCTCCCTGTGTTTTTATTGTGTTTACCGTAGCTGTCATATCTGCTCTGCACTGCCTGCAGTTCAACCCAGTTCAGCTGAAAACTTCCTGAAGTTTTGTCACTTGACTGTTGGTCCCAAGGACCACAACCTTCTGTTTTTGTTTGTTTCTTACACAATCTGGTTAACAGTTTGTTTTTGGTGATTTAATTTTTAAAAAACGAGAGAGAGACATGTAGAATAAAGTAATTATAGAATTTCAAGTTGAGCACCGTTGGGAAAAATTCTCCGACTGTCCTCGTCTTTAAAGTTTCTGGTTCTGATAAATGGTGTAATTTGGGGGATTTTGTAAAGAAAGCATACCTTTCAAACCCGCTGGGATTCGGGGGATTTAAATAACTAGTTGGATATCACAAAAGCTGTTTGTTGATTCTCTGTCGATTACCTAATTGATTAGTTTCGTTGTTTCAGGCGTCCGTGGCGACATACTGCATAGATTAGTCAAAAGGTCACATACACAGTGCAGACTTTTTGCCTCGTCACACTTCCAGCTGAGGGTGCTCGGTCTTGTGGTGTTGTACAGTCTGATAAATGCTGGAGCACTTCTAGCGATCCTTAACTCACAGGTGACACAGAAGCTTTAGCTGTTTAATTCCTCATCCTAACCTCAGTCTTCTTCAGGTTTCATTTAAGAGGGTTTATCAGGATTTCCCTGGCTTAGAACGGACCTTTTTAGGGTGACTGCACATGACAAAACACAAAAAGTCTGCTTACAGTATGCACAATAAGTCTGTTTTATCTTTTGTGACTGAAATCTATGGATGTTTATGTTCTTTTTGACCATTTGATTAACAGAAATGTCTATTATGCTAGATTAAACACAAGTTAACAAACACGTAATCTGTTTTTAATTCTCGCTTCCTGTCATCGGCCACTGGTGATTCTCCTTTGGCACTAAAGCCTCTTTTGGGGGAAACTTTTGAGGTGAAAAATCTTTGATGTATGCAGGAAAAACCCTGGTATATTTGGGATATCATTGAGATTAGATCCAGAGTTGCCTCAGATGTTCATAGAGTCGATGTATCCTGGATGTTGTTTGTTGAGAGCTTAGAAAGACGTGACTGATATGTGCTTTGACAGCTTTTACTGTTAAGCGAGTGCAGACGAACATGTGAGGGCTTGTGAAGATATGTTTGTCGTTCTAAGTTAAACTATGTTCGTTCCACGCTATGTCAGGCTTTAATCATAGGAAACAGAAATGTGGCAGGCACAGGCACGAGTCCACCAGCAGCTCAAACCAGCAGTCCAGGCTGGTCCACAGCAAAATGTAGCGTCAGCACGGGGGGCTTTGTGCACCGCTACAGAGGGTTTAGCTTCCCTCTTGAACCGCACCACGCAGCAAGATGTATTTTCTCATTTCTTGTATATTTGTTATTGTAGTTTAAATCTTAGTATTATTTCAGTCTCCTCCTGATCGCTTTTATTCCCATTTCAGATGATATTGACGGTGTACCTCAGCGATGGGGAACAGGCCGTGACCGAGGTGCCCATCACCCCCGAGACGACGTGCCGCGATGTCGTCGAGTTCTGCAAAGAGCCCGGCGAGAGCGGCTGTCACCTGGCTGAGGTCTGGAGAGGCAACGGTAAGAAAAGCCTGTTTGCCCGCTGAAGCGGAAATAATTATATAAAATTCAGAACAGTCGGTGCTTCGTCTCTTGTGAGGAGAAGCAGCGTTCAGTTCAGGAGGAAGGGTGTCTTTAGTAATGCATGAAGGTGAAGTAATGTGAAACCCCATTATCGCCGAGGCTGACACTTCATTTGCATGCACAAGTATTTCAATTTGTGAAGCCTTTAGTTTGTAAAAAAAAAAAAACAGTTTATTAATGAGGGTTCAGACGACGAGCAGGGCCTTCAGTGACCACTAGAGTGGAAGGAAAGCAGTCACGGGCAGAACTAAAAGAGAAAAAGAATGAAACGTGCTGCCAAAAATACATTTTCTTCCCCAGTCGCTGCCGGCAGACGAGTATAATTCACTTGTTATGTGCACAGGTCAGAAAAGGGTTACGTGTCATGACAGTCCACAGCGCTGTCACACCAGATTCCACTCGGTTCAGACGATTTGCTTCCATCGCCGCGCTGACACACCCGGTGTTATCAGCGGTTTTTTGTGTTGTTTTTTTTTTTTTACTGAGGGCCCACACCCCTGTTGAAAACAACATCGTAGCCAAGGGCTTTATTAACCCACGTTATGCAATCGTGTCAGACTGGTGCCTGACAAAGCAGCTGTCTGCCCTCTGAAGCCTCCCAAAACCTCTCTGTCTTTGTCTCCATCCGTTTGTGTGCAGTTCTTTTGCCGTAATCTTGTAATGCAGAAAAACTTTCTAGCACACATCCATCAGTCTCGGTGGACTCCACCCAAGGGTATTATAACTTAATTTATTTCTGAAAGTCTCAATATCGCCAAAAAACATAAACAGAATTTGGATAAAGTGAATTAATCACACACATCATCCATGCAAGTGTGTGGCAGGCTGTTTCCTGCTCAGAGACCTGCAGGGTGATGCCGTTTGTGAGAAAAAAAATGAGAAGACATTGACCAAAACAAATCTCTTTGAAGCAGGAAACTTTTATGTTTATGTTTTTATGCCTAAAGATATAATTCAGCTCTTTGGGGAATATGCATTTTGTCTTTAAGTATTTGTGTGAATTACACAAGATATAACCTGATAATTCTTTGCACAAAGACGAGCGGGTCGTGCTTTCTACAACAGTGCTATTAACTGTCACACAGGATTTTGCATTTGACTTCTTGAGCACAATCAACAAAATATGTACATCCAACAACAGAGCCTAACTATTCAGTCTGTCCTTCCTGTCCTTCACTCTTGTGCGTTTCAGAGCGAGCGATCCCCTTTGAGCACATGATGTACGAACATCTGCAGAAATGGGGGCCTCGGAAACAAGAAGTCAAGTTCTTTCTCCGGCACGAAGATTCCCCAACCGAGAGCAGCGATCAAGGTGTGTACCGTGTGCAGCTCTACCTGCTCTGCGATGCAGTCTCGGTATGCTGAAACCTGAACGGCGTTGGGTGGAGCTGAGGGTTGTTAGGAAATTCCTGACACCTGTTCTGACCGGCTTCCTGCTGATGGATGCTTGTGTCACTCGGTGTTTCTCTTTTTGATGTGCTTCCGTCGAACTCTGCCACCTCCACTTCAGCCTGCTTGCTTTCTGTCTCTTGTTTGCACCTCGCGGCACTTGCAGAAAATATTTTCCCCTCGAAGCCTCAGATCGTGTGTGGTCTTTGTGTTTTCTTTGAGTCAGGTTCTGAGAGTGTACACGTGCTCCACAGAGTTTTCATCTGTAATCCTTTGGCATTAGGAATTTTGAGTCTTTGTAGGATGAACAATCAAAAGGTTTTCTGATGCTTGATGAGGGCAAAGCAATGAGCGCTTCTCTAGTTTTCACACACACAATATTAATATTATTTTTTTTGCAATTATATCTGGATGGAGCAGAGCCACAAGTTAACAATCATCACTAAATCCAGCCTTCTACAAATCAGAGACCCACTGAGCTTCATTAATTCCAGTGTTGATGTTGAAGTTAATATATGTGTAGAGTTATTATGATGTTATCCCGATCTGGTTTATATTGGATATATATGTTCAACTTCACTAAAAGAAAAAAAAAAAAAGCCCCACAGAGGTACCATCAGGCCCTCTGGTGAATATGTCATTTGTCATGGCAAAGGACACCATGTTGTGTCTTCTCCTGTGAAGTTTTAAATATTTATCCTCATATTTCCATCAAGCGTCTCTTCTTAAACAGTACGAGGTTCGGTGGCTTTAGTAAGCAGCGCTCGTCCTAGTTCTTAAATCCCTCTGTCATGAACAATCATGTCAGTGGATTTTCAAACCGCTCTAGACAACGCTTGCTGTCTCTGAATCTGCACATTCGTCTGCGTGTTGTGTTGTATGTTTCTGTTCTGTGTTTGTGATGGCGAGCGTTTCTTTTTGCAGGGAGTCAGCAGTCTCAGGATCAAACGAGTCGCAGAAGTGGAAATGCTGGAGAGAAGCACAATGAGAATGGGGTAAGAATTGATTAACATTCAACATCTGGGAGGACCAACATACCTGTGCTGTTATGTTTGTATGTCACTCAGATTGGGGAAGGTAGAAACTAAGAAAACTCTCCACGTGGGTGTTTCTATGAGGTGGCACTTTTCCTTTAGTGTTTGTGCTGCTGTTAAGTATCCTGTGAACTGTAAAGCAAGTCTTGATATTTGTTTGTATGTAGTTGTAGGTTTCCTACACATTCTTAAACATAATTAAAGTTATTTCCAAGTCTACTTAAGCCAGTGAAAAAGGAAGCATTGAAAACTATTTGTGTCTCTAGATTATCACATGCATTCTGTTTCCTAAAATCAAAAGTTTTGCATTTCTAAACGTTAATCGATCACACGAGCAGAGTGCTGTTCATGGTGCTCGAAGCAGGCGGCCGGTGCAGCCAAAATGTCGTCACTGTGAGAGAATAGAAGCCAGAGCAAGCTCCATGTCCAAAAGCAAGACCAAAGTATGATGTGCAGCTGAACGCACACTCCTACGCAGAGGTGTCTCTACACTTTTACGTCACAACAAGCAGCTCTGCCCCAAGAGCCTCATTACTGGAGCAAGTCATTCGTGACCACATCAGTTTGGAGGAAGAAGCAGCAATATCTTTGAATTGCATACATACGTGCATACAAATCACAAATATCTAAACATGAAGCTTGTTCAGAGTTATCCAGCGATGTTACTGTTAGAGAAGTTAGCAGATTATCTTTGCTGTGTGAGGAAATCATACCTTTATGTCTTGCTGGTTCAGTGGTCACAGCGCACAAACAAATCTGCACTGACACCGTGAAAACTGAATTAGTTGACATTACCCACGCATTTTCCAATCGTTTTTATAGATTGTTTATAAAAGACACAAAAATATTGGTGCAACAATGATATTATATAGTTTATCCAGTATTTTCTGGGAAAACAATACATTGTTCAGTAACAGTGGTCCTTTGGGAAGAGATGCTTTTCTTTGTCTGGTTTTGGTGTTTGAGCTGCAGTACCTGGACCTGCAATCCTCTGGGAATTACTTGGCGTCATAATAGCATAATGCAACATACATGTTAACAGTTGTACTCTAGGTGTTTGTACATAGGTGTCAATATGATCTGACAAATCTACAGAGAAGTGTAGAAATTAGAGTCCAGGAACATATGTAGGAACCTTGGTTGTATGTTCACACTGTGGCAGCATTTTGATGTTATGTATAACTCTAGTTAGTGTTATAAGTAAAAGTATTAGTGAGTGTGTGTAATGATTCTAGCGTCAGGCGAGTGTTTAGACAGCAACAGACGCTGGTGTCACAGGCCTGTTCCATTTCCAAACGCTTCCAGACGTGTTTTTCTATCAGGTGTACCCACTGATGTGCATGTTCAGCTCTTTGGCTTTAGGATGTGCAGACGACGTGAATGGCTCTGATAAGAGCAGCCTCTGGCACGGCATCCTCTTTCTTTCTGACCATCTGCCCCAGATTTCACAATAGTAAAGTGTTGCGGTCAAGGAATTGTAAGTAATTCAACCTTAAGGGTTGAGTGAAGAATCCAGCACAGCAGGAGATGGAGGGACGGAGGTTTTTTTGTTTTCAGTGATGGCGGTGTAGCACAAGAGCGCCCAGAAGCTATTCCTTTTTATTATCCTTAAAATCCACAACTTTTCACTTTGTTTTTCGTAACTCTGTGCTGCAATGCATTCAATTAGAAATAGAATAATGGATAGTGCATTAAAGTGCCAAGTCTTAGTTTTAATTTGAGAAGTTTTACAGCAGTTTTAGGAGAACTGTGTGTTAGAGATAATCCTTTTAACACAGTTCCTAAATTGCAGTTCTTTAAAAATAAATGCACACTAGGCTGCTGAATGTTTATTGTGTGTCATTGCAGTGTTGGTTTAAAAGAGAACAGAAATGATTCAGAGCTGATTGAGAGATGAGAGTTGATTTTGTCAACAATCAACAAAAGACTTCATGATCAGAACCTCAGCAGATTTATTGGAAGACCCAAACCTGTCAAACCTCAAAAACAGAAAGTGAAGTTCCACGATGAAACAAAAATCTGCCTCTATCAAAAGGACAACAGCTGATGATGTTTAAGAATTAAAGAACCAGCTCATGACCCGCCTGTCAAACATGATGGTGGTTCCGTTGAGGCTTGGGCACGTATGGCTGCTACTGGTCTGGCATTTATGGATGATTTGACCGCTGACAGCAGGAAAAGGATGAATGCGAAGCTGTTCAGAAACACCCTGTGAGCGCGCACAGACTCAGACAAACGCATCAAAACTCATTGGACGATATTCAGCAGGGCACTGATCCTAAACGTACGGCCAAAGCAGCCAAACAGCTTTTCAGGGCGGAGAGGTTGAATATCCTCTCGACTGGCTGATTCAGTCACCTGAACTCAATCTGCTTGAGCTGCGTTCGTCTTGCTCAAGACCTGACTAAACGCAGAGAGGATCTACAACAACAAGATTTAACCCGACGCTTTGGGCGCTAGATGTAAAAGGACTGTATCTCTCACACGGCTGTTTCTACACTGATGTAAACCTAAAGCTTGGCACTTTAATGAGCTATCCATTACTTTATCTGAGTTTGCTAAAGCATGAATGTGTGTAAGTGACCAAATACTTAAGGTATGGACTGTAGATCTAGAGATTTGCCTCTGAGTCTCTGTTTAAGCCTGATCAGTATCATGTACTAACCCATAAAGACACACCATCTATTTCTTGGGTACATTCATTCACACAAAAAGGGAAACGTCATCCCTCTCACGACTGGCTCCTCCTCACCATCAAGGTGCCGAGGCTCATTTGTGTCCGAGTTTCTTGCTAATATCTGATTTAGAGGATTATATCAGTCGGCCTGCTGGATGATATAATGGTCCCTAAGAGGATCATTGCTGTGGCTTTTCCACGGGCTGCTGCCCAAACCCCAGAGGCTTTCTCTCCACCGAGCAGAGCTGATCATCCTCTGAGAGAGAGAGAGAGATGCTGCTTCTTCAGGGACACACATCACATGCATTAAAAAAAATATCATACCGCAGTTCTAGCTCTGATCATGACAGCTTGTTGGCAGTATCGGAATATCCCATTTGCCAAGAGGTGGAATGATTTAGTCTAGCAAGAAATAATTTAATTTTGAAAATCAACAGATCATTCTGGAGGTTTCTGTTGTTTGTCCTCCAGCTGAAAATCTCAATTATTTTAAAATTCAAACTTCCCTCTGTAGAGGACATTTCACTTTTCTTGATGGTAAATTAAACAATAGCGAATGTCTTAAATTCTGCTCAGAAATCAAATAAACGAGAAAATGATTATGTATAGAAATCAGTGGTGCTAATAATCATTAGTTAAAGCTGCAGATTTGTGAAAAAGCTCTCAGGATAAAGCTAAGAATGACTTTTTTGTCTTTTAATCATCAGTATGACTCATAGATTCATCGCTGGATCTATTAAATATCAGACGATTGTGAAAACGTGAATCACTGGATGCTTGTTTTGTCCATCATTCAGTTTGTTGTCTGAGAAATCGTTGACAAGATTAATTTACCTTCAAAATAGTGGCTGAAATTTTCTGCTGAACAAATAATGATTTTAGTTCTTACAAAATGTTTGCAGCTCAGAATAATATTGCATTAATTACACCTATGAATTAGCCTATTCTGAAACATAATCCTGATAATCCTTTTCGACAACATCACCCTATTAGCCACAATCAATTACATAAGTACAGTCCTGTGCAGTTGGTGGACGGGTTTGTGAGCTCTGGTAAGACGACATTCCTCATCGGTGATGATGTGGCAGCTCCACCTCCCTTCGTCTGCTCAGTTGGGTGTCTCTCCATCTTCCTTTTCACCACAATCCAAAGGGGTGTGTGTCTCTGTTTCTCCCTCGGGTGAATTGCCACTGATGCAGAGTTGCTTGAGTGCATTCCAGCGTGGCTGTGTGTGCCAGTGGCTTCCCCCGCTCTCCCCATCGCAACCTCGGTTGAGTCACCTCGCCTTCCTCCCTCCTTCCGTCCCTCCCTTCTTCCCTCCCCTCCTTCCTTCCTTCTGAGTCTTTCTAGACATCCTTAAATCTAAATGCCAGATAGGAAAACACTGCCTAAGTCGTGTGGGCAAAGCTGCACAGACACGAGAGCATGTATGAGCTGTTGCTGCTGCTGACTGCCTTCACAAAAGTAGAAATTATTCCCAAAAAGAAGCATGTTTTATTCAGATAAGGTGAATCACAAAAATATCTGCCTCTTCGAATTAACTTTGACTCGTGCTTTTAGTGTTCTAGTCCTGTTTATTCTGCTTGGACTTTATCTCCGGTACTTTACATACATGTGGGATTATCCCAAGCAAGCCGTAATGCATACACTTAACACACATGAACGTCTCCTGTTAATCTCATCACCAGCAAAGAGACTGAATCCAAACCGGTGTTCTACATTTCACAGTCTGTTGTTGGAAGGAAAAAGAAAAAAAAAAAACCCCCACCATGACATTTCCTACATCGTCTCCTCCCTCTGAACGCTCTTCCTAAAGGCAAAGTCTGGGAGCGCTTCAGTTGCTCTTGTAGTTTGGAGGAGCGTGTTCACTCAGTATGCTGTTTTATTGAAAGGGGAGTCTGCCAGTCAGCGGATTCAGAACTGTGCAGAATAACAGTTTGGGGGAAAAACAGCATTGAACGCGTCGTCGCTTTATTCTGCGAGATCTCGAACGGCAAATGGAATTCTAGCTGGAAAAGAGAAGTGTTTGTGGAGGTGAAACCCTTTTTCATTTATATTGCAGCGAGTTCCACTGATATTTGTACTTGGGCTCTCTGAAAGTAGATAAAACGATGTTGCATGGGGCTGCCTGTGTCTCCCACACCTTCAGGATATGCAGAGCTAACTGTTGTCACTGTTACAGCTGAATAATTCATTCATTCATTTGCAGAAAAGTCGTTTGCATCTCGTTGGTAATCTGTTAATTATTGAAGTCATTTTGAAAGGAGCCAAACGTTGTCATGATCCAGCTGCTCGGTTGTAATGATCTGCTGCTGTGTCTTTTGTTCTGGGATAGTAAACTTATTATTTTGTCAGACTAAACAAGCAGTAATTAATAACGTTAAGCTTTTTCCTTTTTTTGGTTTAGCTTGTGCCTTTTAAACTGTACATACGTGATATCCTGTTTCACTTCAGCACAAAGTCGGGAGGGAAAAACCATACAGGCGCCTTTAAATATTCACAAACTTTGAGTCGTAACAACTCAAAATACTAAAAAAAAAAAAAAACTACACTGTATGTAGATTACAAAATCAGCCATATGTCCCGCCACCTGCTAGCCATGTTAGCCTAAATATATTATAAATAAAAAGCTAGCATTTGCAGAATATTATATCAATTATGATTAGAAAAAAAAGTTATGTTACTTAAAATACCAGCAGAACAACTACTAAGGAATGTAATGCAAACAAATTAGTCTGCTGTTCTTGCATGAGAAGCTCTTGACATGGTGTTCATTAATTAATAATTAAAATCACAGTGTTAATTTGGAGTGAGCAGAGTTAATAGACCGCCTCACTTGAGTTCAAAGTTGTGAAAACATGGCGGTCTTCTCCACAGGTAGTCTGTTTGTAACGCTTCCAAAAACACTGAATACATCCAGGAATCCTGTTAATTCAGCTCTTTTATTCTTCTGGAAACACCTGTTTGACCAGTAACAGCTGGTTTGGATGTGAGTTTATTGACAGACCCATCGGCCGGTCGTCCTGAACACGACTGCCTCACAAAATGTTATTACAGAGCAGTTCTGGCCTGTAAACAGCATCGTTTCACCATTTATGCATCCAGTTACAGATAATGTGGCAGCCTGGGGAGATGCTTCCACGTTTCATTAGTCTTGAATGTTTTGAAATACAAGGAATAATTCAGATGGGGTTCAACCTGACATGAGGCCATGAAGCGGATCAGAGGAGCGACTAAATGTCACGGCAGCATTCTCAGCAGTGACTCTTAATAAGAGTTATTGATTTTTAGACAATCATCACAAACTTTGATCAAACCAATGGACTCCAGTGCCACTTTTTTCAATGATAGGTTATCTTTAAGAACATTTTTACAATTGTAAGCAAATGCATTATGTAATAATATCCTAGTAATAAAGCCAAGTTATCTGTGCTTGTGATAAGCCTGTTCTCAGGTCAGCAGAGTTGTGTAGCTCATTTAGTTAAACGCTTTAAGGGCACGTTTTGTTTCGCCGCAACAGAACTGCCTTCTGGTAATTGTGTACACTTAATAATGCTTTTGTCTGATGGCTTAACTATTACAGTTTAGTCTTCTCCTCCCTATGTGATGTGATATGAAGCTTATGCCATGTGTGTAAACACCAAATGACACATTGCCCTCAGAGGCTCCAATCTCCCGCTCACTAGCTGAGTCTCCATTATAGTCACTGTCCCGACTTAATGATGATGTTCGGTAGGAAGGACACCCCGACTCTCAGCGCTGGGAAGTCTCCTGCTGTTGGAGCCTCTGGCTGCAGAAATCAGACATCTTTTAAAATCATTTCTGCAAATGGCTTTTTGCGTAACTTGTTTCTTTGTACTTTGTTTTTTGCGCTTTCTTTTCTTATATAACATTTTTAGCTTATGTAACTTTGTATGACGGTTGTGTTTTTCTGCATGTATTGACTTGTATACTCGTCTCAGAAGTGCTGTCAAACATTTGGCACCGTATTGGCATAAATATACACAAACATGAATGAAACAGACTGTCACCGCGCCTCACACAACCATTGAGATGTTTTAGGAATCGCTCGTAAAAGTTCAACCATTCAGCTTATAGCTTTTGCTCAAAGCTACTAAATGTTGATGTTTTGACTGGAGGAGGAGCTGTGAATGTTTCTCAAAGTGTGTCATCATGACTCTAGCAGCTCCCATAGGGAAAACAATAAATGTCAGGTCATGGCCTGGTCTAAATCACACAACTTCCAGTAGAAGTACGATACGGCCCATTTCTGAGCCTTTGCCTCATAAGTTAAACTGGAAATCGCGCTAACAGAAACACATCCTCGCTGTTGTTTAGAAATCCTTGTTATATCACCCGTCTCAGTCGACACCAGTGGTTCCTGCAACATTTCAGTGGGTGTCAACATCAAGATCACTCTGCTCAGATTTTAGTGTGTTGACCAACTCCTGTGCTCGTGTGTGTAGGTGGGAAATCAGCGAGTGGAGCTCACGCTGTCAGAGCTGCAGGAGATGGCCACACGGCAACAACAACAAATCGAGGCTCAGCAGCAGATGCTTGTTGCAAAGGTAGCGTCTTCATTTTTTTTCTCTATCTTGTTGCAGATTCTTCTCTTCAGTATGCTAATATGTTCAAACTGTAATTAGCTACATAAAACATTTATGAATGAGTAAATTGTTGGAGGTTAGTACCAGGAAAGAGTTCACTTTGTGCTGGAGGCTCACTGCAAGCTGCAATGTCTCCATTCT